AGCTGACTAACTATAAGCCCTATGTTGAATAAACTTGCATGAGTGTTACATCTAAAGATGCATACAAGCAGGCTTGCTATAGATGCTGGATTTGACCTTAATTTTTTTCCAGATGAATGAACAGGTTAAAGTTTTTGTTGCAGGTCTCATTTCCAAGGAACTATAAGCCCTATGTTAAAAATACCAAACTTGCAGCATGGGTGATACATCTTATGATCGATGCATACTACCTTGTAGGCTTGCTTCAGATGCTGGATCTGACATTTATTTTCCAGTTAGAGCAGGTTCATTCTAAAGTTACTATATTTAAGCCCTATGTAGACCAAACTTGCATGGATATGATACATCTAAGGATGCACACTATCGGGCTTGCATCTAGATATTCCAGATGAGTGATTTTTGGATATACACTTCTAAATTATTAGTTTAATGTAGGACTTTGCCTACTGAAAAAAAAGCATTCATTGAGGTGATCTGAGCTCTGTAATTTCTGATTACCTAAGTTATGAGAAATGCACCTACATGTTGTATAGGGATCACATTTACCAATCATGCATCAGATGCAGCATCTGAGTTACCTGGATGAACTGATTTAATCAAAGAACTATATGCGGTATATTGCATATATTTGCCCCCACAAAAGTCAAATTTTGAAAACTTCCTGAAATGTGCTGAATTCAATAAATTGTATGAGAAATATAAATTAATAGAAAATATTATAATGTCAAAGCAGTGTATTCACAATTTTTGTTTTTATGACGTCACAAACTAGTCCGATTTTATATCCTTTTTCAGAAAGAGGTACAAAATGGACAAAATTTCAACAATTTTATTTGAAATTGATAGAGCGCAAGTTTGTTCAGGAACAATATTGACATATTTCATTGATATTATCATTCTACACATTATATCAAAATATTGATCCTGAACACGCATGCGCTCGGTTACTTTTACTCAAAATATCGACGAAATATGTACATTTTTCTGTAAAATTCATAAAAAAACTGAAATTTACGTCATGTTTGTGACGTCATTACGTACATATGGCGTTATTACTTAAAAAATATTCAGTGCTTTAAAGTCAGCATATACTCCCCTGTTTAAGAACTTAATTAAATATATATCCATCAAAGTTTGATTTGGGGGGCAAATATTGGTCATTACCGAATAAAGTTCTTTTCAAGGTAACTTAAAAACAATTTTTAGTTGAGATTTTTAGCCGGTCCATTCCCAAGAAAAAATAAATGCAACATAGGAAATAAGAAAAAAAATCCAGTAGTGAGTGATATCCATAGGATAAAGGGCTAAACATGGAATAAAGTCAATTGTCATACCTTAAGAAATTTGTTCCCATACAAATCTATACGAAAAAAGTCTTAACATTTCTAACTTTTTGCTGAGCAGGCATAAAAATAATTGATGTTTGACCGCTGAGAGAGATGTTGAACTGGTCGGTGAAATGTTGGACTGCTTACGTCACAGAATAGGCGGAGCTTAATCTCATTTTCATTGGTTGGTGTTCAACAGTGACGGTCCTGATGTTACATCACGGAAGACATTATAAATTACATGTATGTTAAAAAAATAAAACAAAGTGAAAGGTATAACAAACAAAACATTTATTGACTGAATTCTCAGGCAAAATGCGTTTTGTCGACCCTCGAACCAAACTGTCTGCCTTCGGCCTAACAACCTCAGGCAGACAGTTTGGTTCTGGGGTCTGACAAAACGCATGTTGCCCTCAACTCAGTCAATAAAAGTATAATATTAGCTGGCCTCTAATAAAGTATTGTTTATTTGCAGTTTCCTTCCTGATATTTGAAATCTCTCTTTGCTGGGACTTCTCATCTCATTGGAGATGGTGGAATAAGGACGTGGAGGCAGCTGGCTCTTTCATCGTTGGAGGATTTGAAGGAGGCTGGGCATATTGGATTGGAACAGCATGCCAGCAACGCTGGAATGGAGGTATTTCCTAGTCATTAAGAAAGAGCCAAGGTAAGGTCGTTTCATTATTATTTTTGCACTTCTACTAAGTACTAACATTTCCCTCCCCTCCCCCACTCTCGGCACATCTTTTGTAAAAGTTTTTTGTTGTTTTTTTATTGTGTTGTTTTTTTATTTGTCTAATCTTCTCTGTTCTCTCTTTGCCTGGACTTCATCGTTGGAGATGGTGGAATAAAGACTTGGAGGTGGCTGGCTGGCTCTTTCATCGTTGGAGGATTTGGAGGAGGCTGGGCATATTGGATTGGAACAGCATGCCAACAACGCTGGAATGAGGTATTTCTGAGTCATTAAGAAAAGGCCAAGGTAAGATCGTTTCATTATTATACCCCCCGCAAACGAAGTTTGGGGGGGTATATAGGAATCACCTTGTCCGTCTGTCCATCTGTCTGTCTGTCCGTCTGTCTGTGCAAACGTGTCCGGTCCATATCTTTCTTACAGAGGGACATTAGAATCTACTACTCCACACAAAGATTGCCCATGACCTAAGGGTGTGTCATGACCTTGACCCAAGGTCATTTGGGGAAGTTCAAGGTCACTGGAAGAAAAATTTCATAATTCATGTCCGGTCTACATCTTTTTTATGGATCAACTTGGTAGGTTCTCATTTCATGCAAAGATTTCCCATGACCCAAGGGTGTGTCATGACCTTGACCCAAGGTCACTTGAGGAAGTTCAAGGTCACTGGAAGAAAAAGTTCATAATTTGTGTACGGTCCATATCTTTCTTATGGATAAACTTGGTAGGTTCTCATTTCACGCAAAGATTCCTCCTGACCTAAGGATGTGTCATGACCTTGGGTCAAGGTCATTTAGGGAAGTTCAAGGTCACTGGAAGAAAAGTTTCATAATTTGTGTCCAGTCCATATCTTTCTTATGGATAAACTTGGTAGGTTCTCAATTCACAAAAATATTGCCCTTGACCCAAGGGTGTGTCATGAACTTGACCCAAGTTCATTTGGGGAAGTTCAAGGTCACTGGAAGAAAGAGTTTACAATTCGTGTCTGGTCTACATCTTTGTTATGGATAAACTTGGTCGGTTCTCATTCTACACAAGGATTGCCCATGACCCAAGGGTTTGTCATGACCTTGACCCAAGGTCATTTGGGGAAGTTCAAGGTCACTGGAAGAAAAAGTTCATAATTCATGTCCGGTCCATATCTTTCTTATTGATAAACTTGGTAGGTTCTCATTTCACACAAAGATTGCCCATGACCCAAGGGTATGTCATGATCTTGACCCAAGGTCATGGGGAATTTCAAGGTCACTGGAAGAAAAATTTCATAATTCATGTGTTATACATATCTTTATTATGGAAAAACTTACTTCTGAAAAAAACCAGCGGGGGGTATTTTGTCCTGTTTGGACAGTTCTAGTTATTTTTGCACTCCTTCTAAGTACTAACATTTCCCTCCCCTCCCCCACTCTCATTACATCTTTGTAATATTTTTGACTCGTTTTGTTTTTTTTATTCTGTAATTTTTTTATTTGTCTAATCTTCTCTGTTCTCTCTTTGCTGCGACTTCATCATTGGAGATGGTGGACTTGGAGGTGGCTGGCTCTTCATTGTTGGAGGATTTGGAGGAGGCTGGGCATATTTGATTGGAACAGCATGCCAACAATGCTGGAATGGAGGTATTTCTGAGTCATTAAGAAAAGGCCAAGGTAAGATTGTTTCATTATCATTTTTGCACTCCTACTAAGTACTAACATTTCCCTCCCCTCCCCCACTCTCAGCACCTCTTGTAATATTTTAAATTCATATTTTTTTTCTGTTGTTTTTTTTATTTGTCTAATTTTCTCTGTTCTCTCTTTGCCAGGACTTCATCGTTGGAGATGGTGGACTTGGAGATGGCTGGCTCTTCATCGATGGAGGATTTGGAGGAGGCTGGGCATATTTGATTGGAACAGCATGATATATGCTGTTACGCCAACAATGCTGGAATGGAGGTATTTCTTAGTCATTAAGAAAAGGCCAAGGTAAGATTGTTTCATTATTATTTTTGCACTCCTACTAAGTACTAACATTTCCCTCCCCTCCCCAACTCTCATCACATCTTTTGTAATAGATGTTTTTGTTTTGTTTTTATATTTGTCTAATCTTCTCTGTTCTCTACCTGCCGGGACTTCAGCGTTGGAGATGGTGGACTCGGAGGCAGCTGGTTCTTCAACATTTGAGATGGTGGAATAAGGCTTGGAGGAGGCTGGGCATATTGGATTAGAAAAGCATGCCAACAATGCTGGAATGGAGGTATTTCTTAGTCATTAAAAAAAGCCAAGGTAAGATCGTTTCATTATTATGTTTTGCACTTCTACTAAGTACTAACATTTCCCTCCCCTCCCCCACTCTCAACACATATTTTGTAGTAGTTTTTTCTTTTTGTATTTTTTTCTGTTGTTTTTTATTTGTCTAATCTTCTCTGTTTTCTCTTTGCCGGGACTTCAACGTTGGAGATGGTGGAATAAGACTTGGAGGTGGCTGGCTCTTCATCGTTGGAGGATTTGGAGGAGGCTAGGCATATTGGTCTTGAACACCATGCCAACAACACTGGAATGGAGGTATTTCTTAGTCATTAAGAAAAAGCCAAGGTAAGATCATTTCATTATTATTTTTTGCACTCCTACTAAGTACTAACATTTCCCTCCCCTCCCCTACTCTCAGCACCTCTTTTGTAATAGTTGTTTTTGTTTTTTGTTTTTATATTTGTCTAATCTTCTCTGTTCTCTCTTTGCTGTGACTTTATCGTTGGAGATGGTGAACTCGGAGATGGCTGACACGTCATCGTTGGAGATGGTGGAATAAGGACCTGGATGAGGCTGGGCTTATTGGTTTTGAACAGTATGCCAACACTGCTGGAATGGAATTTGAAATGGTATTTCAAGAATAACAGAGGTAATATCTAACAATTCTTACAAATTCCTAACAAACTTCTAACAAAACACTCTAACAAACTATTAACAAATCATCCTAACAAATCATCCTAACAAATTTCTTACAAATCACCATAACAAGTTACTAAAACTACTAACAGTCTGCTAAATGTTGTGTGATGCGTCTAGTGTGTTGGTGTTAGTGTCTGTGTGCTTGTCACCTCTCGCTTTGCCATCACCGCTGGCTAGCAGCAATGCGAAAAGGGAAGGAATTTTTATGTCTTTCCCTGCCAGTACATATCCTCTCCACAACAAGTCCTATGCGATGCCTCCACATGGAAGCAGACGGATACTGGGCACCTTTTGGTCCCAGGCTAAGTTCGCAAGGGCGCACAGAAAGATGAGTCTTGAAAGCCTTGGCTGGCACCTCATCCTAGATGAGAAAACTGATCACAACCCTGATTTAGTAGGAGATTTAAGCCCTGTTCACACAGAGAATTTAATTCGAATCAAACGTAAGTTACTGTGAATTAAATTTGAACAGCGTTCACACTGAGAATTTAATGCAAATTAGATTAATTCTAATAAATAACTTTGAATTTGCTCCGTGCTCTTTAAAAATCTTATGCTCAGGAACAGCAAAGCCAATGTTATTGATATGGAAGCATCCTCAGCTAAACTGATTTGCTGATGAGCAATATGGCCCATGGGCCTCTATTTCACTTTTGTGTTTTCCTCACTTTGTTGCAGGTCTGATGTATGTTGGCAGCTGATTCTGGTCAGCATACCACACATACCCTCTTTAGAGAGACTGGTACACAGGTGACTGACAGCCATTACCACATTTAGCTGTGCAGCTCTCTCGTCCCCTTCCAGATCTCATGACTTTGTAAAGCTTTTCTTAGTGACTGGTAGTAGCACTTTTTGCAACAAATCCATTGCCAGACCTCGCTTTTCCTCAAGTGAACCATCACAGTCTGGAAACTTTTGTTAGTGTTCTTTAAATGCAATATTCCAGTTTTTTGACTTACAGACGTTTCTTGCAAATCATTTAATTTCACCAACTTTAAGTTGTCTGAAAAGTCTTTCGCAAGGAATTATCTACAGAGAGATTTATTTTCATTTTTCACTTTTGGCATCTTATTTAAGGCCAAAGGTATTAATTTTGGTCTCATATTTAAATTAGGAATATCATTTGTTTAGCAGAAATGTCCCATTCTAAAATGAGTCACTCAGGTGACTTATTGCTGTATCTATTACCTGGTATTTTTTATCGTTGTACATCAATCGGTCCTAAACTTTTGAACATTTTTAGCTTCTTCTCTGGACATGCTGAACCAATTTCAACCAAATTTGACATAATGTGGATGAAGGGGAAGAAAAATTTGAATTTCATGGTCCCCCCCCCCCTCCCCCTGCATCCTGGCAAACTTAAAATCTTCTTCTTCAGTCATGGACATCAAGCAGTCAAACTGTTGGCATGATTGTAATAAGCTTCGAGTCCTCTACCAAATTGTGAAATCCATGGCCCTAAGGTCAGATGCTCTAGTGCTAGGGTGGGGCTATATAAATCAGAATTTCATGGCCCCAGGGTCAGGGGTTCTGGTGTTAGGACGGGGCTTTATTGATTATAAAGTGTAAATGCATTAATTCTTTGAAAATTTTCTTCTTTGCTTCTGGATTTTTAACATACTAACTTCATACGTAGGTATGATGAGCACGGGTGGGTTCTTCCTTCAGAATTATGAATTTCAAGGCCCCTGGGTCAGGGTACTGAAAGGGGGGCTCTAATTATTACGTTTGTATGTACTGAAAATGAATTAATGCTTTGAAATCTCCTCCTTGGAATTGATCAAACATTTATGATGAGCAATGGTGCCTTTTCCAAAATTGTGAAATGTGTGGTCCCAGGGTCAGGGGTTCATGTGGGATGAATTTAAGGCACTACTTGCTTTAATACATTACGACACTTTATTGAATTTTCAGACGTGGGAAAATTGAAGACTTTTGCTCATTACCATCCAAGTGAGCTTAATTTTGCTCATATGCATATGGTTAGTATTTTCCTCCCTAATGGAGACTAACAATTTGCACATGATCAAAATCAAATTCTACCTTATGTGCATTATGACATTTCTTAATATTTACATTTCTAAATAATTATCCTTAAGATTCTTTGCAGACATGAAGACTGTTCATTTTCTCATGAACTAAACTGTGGATGAGCATGAATATCTCCATTGTTACGTCATAATACCGCACTTGACGTCAAAACTACATGTAAAGTGCAAACTGTTTTGCTTTAAAAATGACTGTTAAATGGCCAAAATTTTGTGGCCACTCATCAGAAAAATTATGTAAATATAAGAAATGAATTTATTTTTTGAAGATTCATGAGGTACATGTATATATGAACTACAACACTTCACACCAGCATTATTAATGATTTATCATGAAGCGCTAATGAGCTCCATGAAATATGCTGGCGTGAAGTGTTGTAGTTCATAAACCTCGTGAATCTTCAAAAATTACCGTAAATATGTTTCTTAACTAGACTCTCATGTGTGTCTTATGAGCTGCTCATGAGCTTTAAATTTTGGAATGTTTGGTATGGTTGATAATCATAAGCTGACATTTTTTTCAAAAATGAGGCTTTTGCATCTTACAGGTTGAAGAGTAGACTTCAAAGGATGTTTTTCTTTAACAATGTGGAAAACTACATTGCTTGTTCCAACTGGAAATTAATTCTGACGGATTTTGAGATGTTGACCCTCCAAGATGTGGAAATGAGCAGCTCCAGTCAAACAAGAATTGGTGCAGCTAATACAACCAGACAGAACTGGTGGAAACAACTGGAAAAGAGAGACTGAAAGATGCTGACCTTTCCAGCAGCACTGATCAGGAAGGTGACTTGTCAAAAATCCAACATCTTTTTTAGGTCACCTGAGTAAACTATTGCTATATATAGATATTTGTTTTGGTCTGTCATTGTGTGTCTTGTGTCGTGACTGTGAACATTTGAACATTTTCAGCTTCTCTGCAACTGCTCATCGATGCAACCAATTTTACATGTAACCGATTTTGGCATAATGCATCTAGCTATGGGTGAAGGGGGAACAAAAATCGTGAATTTCATCCCCCCACCCCACCCCAAGTGCCAAAACCACTAAAATTAATGCAATCCTCTTCTTACTCCTGGACATCAAGCTGTCAAACTGTTGGTATAATGATTGTTGTAATAAGCATTGAGTCCTACCAAAGTTGTGAACTTTGTGGCCCCAGGGCCAGGGTTCTATGTGTAGTGTTATGGTTGGGCTGTATAAATTATATAGTGAAAATGCATTAATTCTTTGAAAATCTTTTCTTCTCTGCTACTGGGTAATAATCAAAATTAATGTATAGTTATAATGAGGAAAGGGTGCCTCTTCAAAAATTTTGAATTTCATGGCTTCAGGGTCAGGGGTTCTGGTGTTGGGGCTGGGTTCTGATTGATTATATAGTGAAAATACATTATTTCTTTGAAAACCTTCTTCTCTACTCCTGGGTATTAAACAAACTAATTACATACATGTAGTAATGATGAGGGAGGGTGCCTCTTTCAAAATTTTGAATTTTATGGGCCCATGCAGGGTCGGTTTCAGGTGTTGGGTAGGACTATATAAATTATATAGTAAAATGCTTTAATTCTTTGAAAGTCACGATCTGGAGGCCTGGAATTGATACTCGAACCTAAAGATGTAAACATGGGTAGGGACCATCCCTTAGCCAAGCGCTCAACATTAGAAGTGAAAGTCACATGTCTTTCGGATTGTACCTTGAATAACGTAGGTCCCTTGTCATGGTAGGCGTTGGCATGATAAAGAAACCTTGCTGCTCAATGGCCCTG